CACCCCGTAGACTCCACCCCTTTGCGACCGGCATCCGCTGTTGTCTGGCTGACTGCCTGCCATATTTACTATATACCACATTTGCTATAGCCTATACTGACCACACACAAACGTACAGAGTGAGCGGCATGACGTGGCACAAGTCAGGGTCCCTCCAAGTAATCGGATACTTCGATGCCCCAGACAAACTTCACTCGTAGATTGTAAAGGGTCTTGTAGAAGGATGTTATGGTATAGGGGGTATTCCCTAAACAATTTGGTTAATATATAAAAGTATAATAGAGATATATGAGAAAACGATAAAAAGAAACCTCCCACAAATAAAAAGAAATATGTTATATTATATTATTTAGGATCGGCTTGGGAATTACCCCTATCGATATGCTAATTTCACAAGACTAGCGCATGAGTAAATTGAGTTTATAATCTCTAAAATACAATTCCTCGATTACTTTCGCCCCTTATCTGGGCTCAACAAATTTGGTCGTTCTTTGAGGACTTTCCAAATTTGCAAATCATTTTTACGCCCACAAATACATATTTTAAAGTATATGTAAATATTTTGAAAGATCTATCTACTAATGATCTAAATAGTTTAATATATTTCCCCTTTGCAGTTTAAGTTTAATTCTAATTGTGCAATTAGCCGTTTACTTACGGCTCCCTATAATTTCATAATTCTTTTTTGATTTCGTTGACTAATCTCAGCTGTCTTTCTCTTTTTCTCTATCTCCACAACTGCGAATCTCTTAATCGCAATGTGAACTTTTCAGCTGGACTCTTGAGACGTCTTCAAACAATCAGGCAAAGACCGCATGTCAATCGATTAGCGATTTCGCCGCTTGTCTGTCCGGTTCGGAAATATCGTGTTGTTGTTGTTTCTTGTGTAAATCTTTTTTGTTGTATATATTTTTTGAATGAACAAAGCTGATAAGATGGTGGGAATGTGTGTAGACTTTAGACAAAAGAAAGCCCCCAAATTCCAGATTTTTTTTTTTTAAGAAACTAACAGAAATTAGCATTTATTAGCCGACGGCGTTGGGTGAAAATTTATGCAGGCGCAAAAGTCTCGCGTCTGGCGGATATCAGAAAAAGTTAAAGCCATATAAGACTGGGGGCGGAAAGGAGAAGAAACGCAGATCAAAATGTACAAATATACAAATGTCTGTAGAAAAGTCGCCAACGAAAACAATGGAAAAGACGACAAATGGCGAAAAAAGACGAAGAAACGACAAAAAAAGTAGTAACAACAATCGCAGAACAGTAAAAACGAAACGAAATAAAACAGAAAATTTCAGACTTCGACCCAGACAACCGACCGATTCCGATTGGAATGAACTGATGACTATATATGAGGCTTCATTCGGTGTGTGTGAGTAAACTTGATTATAAACTCTAATGATTCGCTTGGTTTATAGGGTAGAAATGGGCGATCTATAAATCGGGCATGCTAAACTGCTCGTTATTGTAATACTTGAATAATATTTTTTGATATTCCTCATCCTTTTTTGATATTCTTCTTCGTGTTATCTTGTCCTGCAGAATTACATTTTAAAATAAAATATGGTTTCAGAGCTTAAAACATTTTAAGAAAATATGTTTTCAAAGTCTTAGACAGAAAGTTAATAAATAAATGTTTTTAAAGAAAAACATTTATCAGAAGTAAATGTTTAAAATAATTTTCTTTAATTAAAATATTTTAAATAATCAAAATAGGTGCGGATAGTAATTCTCAAAGTACACATAATCAAGAGTTTCTTATTTATAGCTTTCAATAAATTACTCTTCTTGCGACAATTTGTTTTGGGACTAAGAAAGAGGGGAAGCTATAACCATACCACTACGATTATTTCATAAATTTTGGGGGTCAGTCATTGACCAGGCGGCAATGACGCCGCGACACGTGATTATCTGGCTGGTCATCTCGCTGGCGATTTTCTTATCGAAGGAACTGGGGTCCCTCAATCAGTCGCCACCCGCCTGCAGCCGGGGCTATCCCACCCCCGATCCCCGCCCACAACCCTTGGGCTGCTCCACTGCAGCACTAATAATGACCTTGGGGAATGTTGTCGCTCGTCGTTCGTCAGTTGCTGTCCGTTCCCTAATCTCATGCTCGGTTGCTGTGTGTGGTGGTGTTGCTGCTATGGTGGTGCACTGATAAAAAATTCGTTTTGTTGCTTCTTTAAAGTTTTTGATTTAATCTTCCTTAAGGAATGTTCTAAAAACATCATAATAATTTTATTTAACCTTTATAGAACCCTTTTATGATTTCATCTGCAGAAATTTACAATCCATTAAACTGCAAAACGAAATTCAAATGAACTTCCGGAAAATCCCAGCCTACTTCTAATTCTGAGTGGTATATTCCGGAATTCCAGGGTGTTCTTTTTTTCGAGTGTGGTGTTGCTGTTGCTGATTTCGTGGTGGTTGTCATGTGGGTGGCGCGGGAAGTGTTGTTGACGTCGGACAGGTGCTCAAGTCCATGGGTATCTCTAAATTGTGCAACTGTGTTGGGTCTTTTATAGAAACCAAAAAAAAAATAGAAAAAAAAAGAGAAAAGAAGAGAACTCTGCTGATAAGGCCGACTGCCTGCTATACCTTTTCTCACTCCGTCCAGAAGCCAAAGAAGCGACGCAGAAGCAGGCAGACGAACCAGACCAGACCAGACGCTTGATAAGCGGCCATGGGGCGTATGAGCGATATTTGTGGCGCGACAGGGACGGCAATATGGCAAAAACAAAAGACCTTGATTTAGCCCTATATATGTGTGTGCCCATGTCGTCAGCTGTTTAATTTGCTTTCGATTAATTCTCTGGCCAATCGAGCTGCTGTCGCTGCTTCGTGATTTTCTCATGAACTTTTAATTAAAAGTTTGTTTTATTTTTCGCCATGGCTCTTGGCACAAAATGTTTCAGCTAAATATTTGGCATTTTTCGAAAGGGTGGCGGAGGTAGCTTAAAAAATAATAATGGCCAGTCGTAAAGATGTTCGGAATGTGCCGGCCAAGTAAGTCAAATTTTCCGTGACAGCATACAAGGCGTATGCGTAACATTCTTATGCTCGGCGAGGGAAAAATGGGAAAAACCGAGGTGGGAGGCCAGGTGGACATGTAAAGGTAAGCCAAAGACGACAAAAGCAATGAGAACTCTTCTACTTTTATGTGAGCGAGTGTGGGAATTTCCAACAGTTGTTGGTAAGATAATATATATAAATATGGTTAAAATAAGATGGGTATCTTTTATTTTTTACATAGCTTGATATGGCAAAATATTTGTATATTTTTAATAATGTTTATATATTTATTTCTATATTTTTAGTATTTATAAGAGCCTGAAACCATTTATTCAGCTTGAAAATAGTCTGTAGGTATTAGGAAATTAAAATGAATGAATATTATACACTGTCAATTGAACATTTTTAAATTACTTAAAAATCTTTAAACCAACAAATATTAATTAAATAGATTTTTTACCCAAAGTTGCTTCTAATATTTTAACCACATCTGTATGTAAAAAGCGAAGAGAAAAAAACTGGGACTGAGCCACATGTGTGTCTCTGTGTGTGAGTGGTGTGCCAGCGAGTATGTGTGTGTGTGTGTGTGTGTGGCATAGCCAAGAGGCAATAGCAATAGCATAGCAATGGCAAAGGAAAAGCAAAAGGCAAGAGCAAAAGCAAAAGAGCTGATGAAGAGCTGGCTTACGCACGGGTTCATTGAACGGAAGTGATTTGCCTACTGCTGTGCGAAAGAGAGGGGGCGAGGCACCTAGAGCGAGAGAGAGAGAGAGAGAGAGGGGGAGACACTACACGCGACTTTGACTTGGTTTTGTTCTGTTCTGTTCTGGTTCCTCTATCAAAACTCCATGGCCCGAGCCTTTGTTTTCATACCCATAGAACCAAAGTCATAGCCAAAGCCAAAGCGAAGCCAAAACCTTGTGGCTCCGATAGAGCAGAAAAGATAAAGCTCTTCTGGGAAGTTCTTAGCTTTTTTCCCAACCTAAAACCGACTCGGGAAGATTTAATCTGAAGCTAAGCCAGGCACTTTGGGTTTCAGGTGAGAAAATCACGATGTTATGGCGTTCTTTCTAATTAAACCAGTGTTTTTTGCGTTCTTTTCACAATAATAGGAGAGAGGCTGAGGTATAACGTTGTAGGAATTTCTACAACTCATAAAGACTTTAGTAAATATTTACAAAATTGTTATCAACAAACAGCTAGATCTTACTTTAAATTGTTGCAATTTTGTGCTGACATTTATCACTCCTAAGCACTCCTAGTTGTAAATCTCTATAATAATCCCAATTTATTTGACTAATAATTGTGAATTTTGTTTCGTTTCTAATTCAAGTTTTTTAATTAATTTTTGTTAACTGGAATTAGTTCTAAAGCCCCAAGTGTCTGCCAAAGACACACCCCAAACTACGTATGAAATTAATACATATTTCGAGATTCCTGACCCCCAAACAAAAATCATATATTTTCCGCCTCTCGTCTAATTTATTACAAGATGCTTTATGACAGCCACAAAAAATATTAAAGGGTTTTAAAAGCATTCAGAAATGCTTTAAAACAAATGTTTTATATTTGCCTTAATACTTTTTTTTCGTATTCCCGTCTGCGGAGAAGGGAATCGTTGGCGAGGGGGCGTGATATCTGTCGTCTGGTGCGAACTAGTAAAAAATACCAGAGCTGATTTCAAAATTTATTGCATTTCTGCGGACAGTGGACAGTTTTTCACTGGATTTTGTTGCTCGTTTTACGAATTTTTATTGTTTTTCTTGCTTGGGTTCGTGTGTGAGTGTTGACAGGAAGTCGCCGGAATGCGATTTATAGAGAGCAGATTTCAGATAGAATATGAATAGCATATAATTAGATAGCGCATACAGTGCGGCTACCGAATATTGGGCACACTTTGTGCAGCTCCAAAGTTCAATTACGTTGTATTTTTGTGGCTAATCGGCTTAAAAAAAGGTTTTTCCCCCATTGAAATATGCTTTGCTCACCTTTTTCGTAGGGTTTTGTGCTCTTATTTCAATTGTTTAGTGGTGTATTTCTTTTTTTTTAACTATATCTTTTAGATTAAAATTGCTTTAGGAATTGCGCTATATTAAGGGCATAAATTTCCTAAATTTGTTTAAACTTCTTAGACACTTTCTTGTGACACTTTTAGGCGAATTGATCTAAGCAACACTTATATACATGGCTTTATTTTCGATTTAAACTTAATTCTTTGCATTTGTTTATTTGTGGTTATTTTTGTTGATGTTGTTTTGCTGCTTGTTATTATTTATTCTGTGTTATTATTTTTTGCGGCGATTAGGAATGCTTTTGAGTACAGGAACGCTGGCTATGTGTGTATGTTGAATATGTGGTTTCTGTATTTATTTATTAACTGCTGCTATTTATTTTTATTCACTTTTGTTTGGTTGCTGCTGGATGCTCAACTCTTTTTTGTTTTTATTTTGCTTGGGGTTTCCTACTGGTTTTCTAGGTGTTTTAAGCTTAAGTTGTGTTAATTCTTAGCGCGCACGAAACGAACTAAACTGAAACGCACGCAAAGTTACAGTGAGCGTAAGTTGAAAAACACACGATTCAATATTCGATTTCAGTCCCAGCTGTTCCACAATATTCGGTTTCAGTCCCAGCTGTTCCGCTCTCTCTCTTTGTTGCTCTCTCTGGGAACGCAGTGGCGATGAAACGCTTCTCTCTCCCTCTCTCTAGTTTACGTTTTATTTTAATAATTATCGTTGGCGAAAAGCGCAAAACAATTGTTTTCCCGCATACACTAGCATCGAAAGTATGCCAACGCAACAACAACAATGGCGACAGCCATGACGTAACGCCGCCCTGTTGTTGCTATACTCCCATTTATTTGTTTAGTTTCGAATCAATCATTTGATTTCGATTTAACTAAGGCACAGACACAAGCACACACAAACACTAACATTAACCAGTCGAATTGTTGTTGTCGATCGCTGGCTTTTGTTGTTGTACATTTGGCGGAGAGCGAAAAAACACACACGTCCGCAGCGTCGGAGAGTTTTTGGCGTTTTGAAATGAGAGCGAAAGATGGCTGCAATATGAATCTCCCTCCATTTTAACAGCGAAAATAGTGCTGTTAGCGCGCAAGAGAGAGGCACGAACTTTCGTGGGAATCGAACGAAACGATAGCAATGGAACGGGCTTTGGGGGTGGGAGCGAGCGAGAGAGACAGCGAGAGTGTCGCACAGCTGTTAATGTTACTGTTAACCCAGGGAGGGTGGTGGAGAAAGGGGAGAAAATGCAGTCAGAGAGTGAGGCAGAGAGAGAGAGAAAGCGCAAAGTTAACTGGCAAATTGCAAATTTATTACAAAGATTACTTCACCAATTTTTGGTGCCTATTTTATTTTGTTTTATTAATTTTTCTTAAGATTTTAATTTTTTAGCCATTTGTTAGTTAGGAATATTTATTTTTATGGGGCTTATTTGCCTTTTTATTTACTTTTCATTTTATTTTATTAATTATTTTAATATATTTGTTTTGTTTTATTAAATTATTATTTCAAATAATATTTGTGCTACCTTTTTCATAAAAATATTTTCTATACTTTTTTTTTAAACTGTTATCTTAATGAATTAGTTTATTTGTTTTTTTTTTTATTATAGGTACATATTTTAAAGGCAACTTTGTCTTCTTTAATTTACCTGTTCTTTTATCTCACAATTACTATTGCCTTACTCCATTTGTCACGCTCTTATTTGCTTTTAAATATTTATTTCGCTTTTTTGTTGTTAAGCTGAATTTCGGTTAGCTCATTGTCACTCGATTTTTTGCGGTTTTTCTGTTTGCCGACTTGAGCCGCCGTGCAAAGTCCAAGAAATTAAAGTGTCAGACGGGCGGTCGGGGTGGTGGAGCTGCGGGGGAAGGGGCAGGGGCGCCGACAACCGCACGTTAATTAAATTTATTTATGCAGCTTTATTTCGCCTTTATTTTATTTTTTGTTTGGCTTTATTTTTAATGATATGATTCACATGTGACATTTTTGATGATACGCGATTCGACGGTTTTTTAGTGTCCCAATTACTGGGTGCTTTCGGGGTATATTAAATAAATGTATTTTTGTTTTTTCTTGAAATTATATTTAAAAGATTTTTCATAGTATAAAATTCTTTATATTTCAATTTAATATTACTCCCAAATGTTTTAGGCAAATAAATGAACATAAATAAATAACTAATATGCCCAAAAGTAACCCAGTGGAAAATTCCAAGTGGAAAATGACCTTTATTTTTTAATGATTAATTTTTATGTGCACTTTTATAATATTTCGAAATGGGTTGGATGTTTATTGTACCATTCTAATAAATACTGGATACCTTATGCTGTCTAGATCTGCTAGTTGATTACCATATTTGTTTGCCAGACATTGTTGCTTTGTTTTAAAATAGAAACTTCAAATGTATTAGCATGTCTGCGGATTTGTTATTTTGTTGCTGGCTAGCCGGTTGTTGTTAATCGAATGTGTTGTGTCCCCTGGGCCCCCCAAGACCACCTCCCCCCCAAAAGCTCACCCCACCGTGTTCCGCCCCTGTAACTACAGCACCCCCGCTGCGCACTTTTCAGCCGACAGCCGACGACGGCAACAATTGAGACAACTTATCATGAAGTGCTAATTAACATTGTCTGGCCGGGGTCTCTCACGTATGCCAATGTCTGGCGACCTACCTGCGGTTACTAGGAGCTCCCCGCCCTGCACCACCGCCCCCTCAGAAACACCGTCACCACCTCTAACCCACCCAAGCGAACGAGAAAAAAAAATATATGAAAAAAAACCGCAATTCACCCAAAACTGGCACTTGGTCGCGTCTCTCGTCTGTGTTTGCTTTTTTTGGCATACAAAGAAATACATTTTTTATTTTTTCCTACCATGAATATTCCCAAAAGTTGGGAAAAAATCCAAATAAAAAAAATAATTGTGTACACATACGACGAGACGGAACATTTTTGTTTATGTTGATAATCTAATATGTGCTGACGTATCTCCTATCTTTTTTTTTGCCACTTTTTATGCTAGGGAAAGGCGAATTCTGGGTCTGCAGGTTGTGTGCGGTGGCAATTTGTTTTCTGTTGACTTTTTGGCGGCTGCTTTGAGCCACCTGGCCGGTCGATCGATTGATCGGTTGGATCGATTGGATCGATGCGATCAAGTGATCGTGCCAAGGCTGTGAGCTGTCTGTCTGCATTTATAAATAAATTGTGGCAATTAAATAAATAAAATAGATGCATATGCATGCATTTTTAATTGTCAGCCACTGCTGAGGCGGTGCACGTGTCGTATACGTAATGCGTACTAGAGTCACCCCGTACGCCATTACCTCATGCCCCGTGCGATCGATTAAACTTTCGCAATTAAGGCTTCTAGTTTTCTTAAACTATGCGATTAATTTAATTTAATTTAATGCTTGAACTATGTGAGTAAGGTAGCCTGATATTAAAGAAAAGTTCTTATTTTTGTCTCCAGTTTTTTTTTAGTTTATAGATCATTTAAGATCTTGCGAATATATTGGTATTATGTGCGTTTTATTAATATTTCATAAAAATCGTTTTTAATGACAGGATTAAAGTCAGAAAGGGACTTCGGAACTTTTATTGTAATTATCATTTGAATAATTAAATTAAACAATATTAAAAATTAGTTTCGTTTTATATTTGTGTTTTTTTCCAGATTCTTTTATTATCTTTTTGATTATTTAGTTTTAAAATATGGTTTTAACGAGTCTAAATTTTAAAATGATCTTGATTTTTTAAACAGCTTTATTTTATTTTACTTTTAAAATATATTAATATTTAATGAATGGCATATAACTTATTGCACAGTTCACAAATAACCTTTTTTTTTATGTCTAAATTAATACCACTTGAACTAGTTGCCCACCTGGCAATACCTGCGATCACCGCAGACTCTCGCCGCTTATCAATTTAGCCAAGTTCTAGGAAACTAAGAGGAGCAACCTGGTCTCGCCGGCCTTTATATAGGGTATCGCCCACATATATGCATTAATCTGCATGCCAGAGTGTTAGTCATTAACTTGCTATTGTTGTGGATGCAAAAAGACTACTTTTGACTCATTGTTGCCGTTTGGCAGAGCGACAACCTACCGATTCCGATTCCTATTCCCATACCCATTCCCATTGCGATTCCGATTTCTCAGCCTTTTGGCTTGCTGTGATTGTGATAAGCAGACTGTGGCGAGACAACAAAAGACATCGCAGACAAGTTTGCACTTACTTTACTTGCACCGCTGTAGCCATGTAGCGATGTTGTGATGTGATGCGATGGTGCTGCTTTTGATATTTTTAGACACCGCCAGTCAGCCTGCCGAGGCGAAAAATAATAATAAAAAAAAGTAAAAAATAAAAAATAAAGGCGGAGGCAAAGGCAAATGGCGTTGGCACATCTCGCACACAAATCGCATCGCCTCACATGCCGCCAGACAATGAGTCTAGTCGGGCATCGGTTCAGATTCAGATACAGCTACAGATACAGATGCTGATTGCGAAACATGCGAGTCTTCACCCAGTTCATTCAAAATTTGCCACAATTGATGATGCATCGATGCGTTAGCAGAGACACGCAGGGAAATAATGACATTTTGTACTCGAATCTAATAAAAGATCCCTTTGAAAATTTTGCCATATAAGCAATAATTAAAATCTATTAAAATATATGTTTCTTCGGCATGTCTGATATTTTTTTAGAATTATAATATACATGTAAAATAATATATTGGTTACCTTGTCAGCTACTTTAAAGGCTTTCTTATTAAATAAATTATTTTGGGTCTAACATTTTTTCAGAATTATGATACCATATTAAATAAAATTATTATTATTATAAAATAAATTATTTTTGACCCAAAAATGGTTAAAGTAATATAAATCCCAATATTAGATATTATTCGCTCTGTGCACAAAGTTCGATTTATCATCGGATGCAACAGGTACAAACACGGTGCCGATGGCACCCCAAAGATTTCTTTCGCGCTAATGAATTTCCTGCCGCCTTTCTCCGCTCTCAAAGGCAGCCAGCTCATTAAGACCTCCATTGACTGGCTAAAGATGGAACAATGGCCAATACAAAGACCCCGGGCTCGAATCATAACTCATTGAACTTTTGCCGGCAGCAGCAGCAGCCGTTGAAACATAAAAAGTGTCAATCAGTGACTCTGCTGTGGCAACGATGGCGACGCCTCCAAAGTCCCATTACAATGCCATTTTTATGGACACCGCTGGCGGGGATGTTGCACCAGCCGGGGAGGAGTGAGAGTACAGTGGAGCTCCAGCTGGCAAGAAAGGAGAAAGGGGTGGAGATGGAGGAGCAGCAGCAGCCGCCGCAGCAGACGGCAGGGTCGTAAATGTAGTAATAATAGTCGCCGAGGGCCAACGTTTGCTAGTTGCGGTCGGGATTTTCCGAGGGGTGGGCAGGCGCATCATGCACTGGCATAAAAACCTAACACTTAATCAAAGTACTACAAATTTAAAATTTAAAAATATACGAGTATTTCCAGTAAATTCCCGGAAAATGTTGTTTTCCATTATAAGTTGAGTCAATATCGCGTATACGCATAGCTGACCAGTTTATATTATAATTATTATAAAATTAATATTTAATTATCTTTGAAAAGGTTGTTTCCGTTTTAAATTCTATAATATTTTTCAATGCAGTCATTTTTTTTATAATTTTTAAGAAAGCTGGATATATTTTATCTCAGTGTGTTGGCCATTGGCTGGTGTCGAAAAGCAAGACATAAATGTCTAACATATGCTGAGGAAGGCTTTTGGAGTTGGCCGGCGAGGCGACAGGTCTATTACCAAAAGCCTGCTTATGACGGGTTATTGCCCGTCTTTTGTGCAGCACCACAATCTCCAGCAACACTTAACGGATATGGATATCCTTTGGTTGGGAGAGGGGTAATATAATATAAGGTAAAATATAATTATTCTGAGGCACAGAATGAATATTAGCCAATTTTAAAATTATGTAATATTTATTATAAATAGTATTTATGTTAATATATAATATAATATTAATTCCAGTGTTTTCTCCCATTTAAATATGTTTTTTAATAGTTTTCTCCCAACCAAATTTTTAAATTAAAATTTTAAATTTTTATAGAATAATTTACAATAGATCCTCAACGAATGTAAAACTAACATTAGTGGCAAACTGAGGCTTTCCATAAAACAGCCAATCTATTGCCAACAAAAAGTCGCCCGTAGGTAAAGGAAGTCGCATAATATCCGTGGATAGATACATATCCTTTATGAAAATGTCACCCTTTAAAAAGATAATGGTGTTAAAAATAATAATAATAATACTCCCAAGCTACAAGCTACTTACATACAACGGGCAGGTGTGATTAATGTTCGAAAAGTCCTTGTAAAGACTAAAAAGAAATATTCCAATGCCATCATAGGGTCTGCGCAGAAACCGACATCCGTCGATCTTAACATTGACGAGCCAAGGCTTATAGCCGCTCTCCCTCTTGAACAATCGGTAGTGAACAAGAATATCTCTAGTTGGATAGATGAAGGTTGCATTGAAATTGAACACAGTTCTGTGACGATTGACCGCCTTCAAGCGACATTGATTAATCCTAATCCAGGTTTTATTGTAACTGCCGCAAAGGACATTTGTCAGTTTGAAGACGACTGAGTTCTGTCAAATAAATTACGAACGATAAGATCATAATTTTGAAATATTTACCAAAAACCTACAACAGGTTTACAGTTTAATATGTAGAAAATTATCAAAAGAGAGACCATTTTAAAGCCCGTCTTCATGATTTCAAAACTTCAAAAAACTATCGAACGTAAGCACCATATGCATATGCTTTATTTATATTTTCCCCATTTATCATTCTTTCCATGATCTATTTTTAATTTCACTTTCAATCAGTTTTCAATTACGTCTGTTTGATCGTAATGTTTTTTAATTTAAAAAAAATCAAATTTTAAAAACTATAAACTTTATAGTCATTATTATGTTATTAATAATCCTCTTATATACATATTTATATGTTTAAAGCAAAATGGGAAAAGCTCGAAACATTTTAATCACTATGGACGGCAGTCCATGTAGTGACGAAGCGCACCAGGAGAGTGTGCGAAGGCGACTACTATATATACACGAAGAAATGAAAATCTACTGTGATGGTCCGATTATAATGAATGATACACCTATCGAAAGGTATTGCGAAAACTAACAGGATTGCATACCAAGACTCTAAGAAAATTAATTGGCTTGGGTGAGAGAGCGGTGAAAGTGAAAAAGTGAAAATTTCGAAATTTGGAGCTGTTGGGGCCGGTGGGGATAAATGCCCCCTCGAAATATTTTAGTTGTATTCCTTTTGAAAATACCCGTCGAATGAGGGGTCATTTGTCAAAATCCGACGCTCCGTTCAAAAGTTATAGCCAAAATAAGATTTCCTTCGTCTTCCCAAAATGAAAATTTAATTCTGTTTGTCAGTTTGTCAGTTTGTCAGTATGTCAGTTTGTCAGTTTGTCAGTTTGTCAGTTTGTCCAAAACATGTTTTTTAAGTTTTGAAAATTTGATATGACGTTCATCACATCGATATGAAAAACTTTTGTTCTACCACTTTTGGAAAAACTCGCTAGTTTAGCGGGAAAACAGCTATAAATAGCTAAAATTCGGAAATCCGTAACTTATATACTACTAAAGCTACAGACTTGTGCTGCATCTCGTTTGAAAGGTATTTTTAAATGCTATAAACGCCTTCTATATGCAATTTGTGTAAATGTAATAATTAAAAAAATATGAACAAATGACAATTTTTTAAAACTTTTTTTTTAGCTTTTTTTATTTTTCTCAAAAACGGCTCTAACGATTTTCTTTAAAACCTTAAACTGTATAGCCCTTGAGATTCCTTAAATTTTGGTATATAACACATTACTGTAAAAAGTCACGTTTAAAAGTTATTTTTATACGAAAATAGCCACTTTTGCCAGCTCGAACAATTAACGCTCCCTGAGTATTGAATTTTGTGGGAGGGTATCCGAACTGTATTTTAGGGTCATGGAATCAGTAAATTTGCACTTAAGAGTTCCATATAGGAATCTTTTGTTCTACGACTTTTGGAAAAAGCCGCTACTTTAGCGGGAAAAAGCTAAAAAAAAAAGCTAAATTTCGTTTGTTTGTAAGTTCTACACTACTAAAGGTACAGACATGTGCTATACCTCGTTTAAAAGGTATTTTGAAATACTTCAACGCCTTTTTAACTTAATTTGTTAAAATACAATAGTTTAAAAATTATGATAGACCAATTTAAATTTAAATGTATATATTAGCTCCTATGAGAGCAAATGTAAACAAACAAAAACTTCTGATATCAAATAAAAACACCTCTTAACGAGGTAAAAAATTAGTGACGACCGCACCTTCAACATACAAAAGTTCTGATATCAACATTTGTGACGAAAAATTATTACACTCGTCATTAAATAGACTTTCTAATATTTTCTCATTCGTCACGCTGCAATAGAAAATGCCTGTAAAGGGAAAAAGGCTGGAATAGTTTGCTAGGGCGGGCCGAATAAGAAAATATTAGAAAGTCTATTTAATGACGAGTGTAATAATTTTTCGTCACAAATGTTGATATCAGAACTTTTGTATGTTGAAGGTGCGGTCGTCACTAATTTTTTACCTCGTTAAGAGGTGTTTTTATTTGATATATGTTATCCAACAGTTAGGAAAGCTATTTAAATAAACAAATAAATGAAACCAAATATTCATTTTAGGGATTTTATAATGACTGTTTTCTTAAAGTGCTCACAAAATTTGTAATTTTATTAATATTTAACATAGGTTAATTTAATTATAATAACGAATCACATCAAATTCTCTACATATTGGAAACTAACGTTAGTCGCAAACTGTGCTTTCTTAAAGAATTTCCATGTCATTGCCAATAAATAGTCGCCGGTGGGCAATGGAAATCGTCCCAACCGTTTAGTCTCCAAATACATGTTTTTAACAATAATTTCACCCTTTGAATAGAGAAACATTAAACATGGTATAAAAATTTACGAGACATTTCAGTAACTTACATAAAACGGGCAAGTGTGATTGACGTTTGAAAAGTCTTTGTAAAAATTATAAATCATTATTCCGATGGGATCATATGGATTCCTCAAGAACCGACAACCATCCAAATGCATATTGACGAACCATGGCTTATAGCCATTCTCCCTCCTGAAGAGCTGATATCTTACCACGACATCGTTGGTCGGATGGATAAAGGTTGCATTAAAGTTTAACTCTATTCTGTGGCGACTTATCGCCTTTAAGCGACACTGATTGATCCGCACCCAAGATTTATTGTAACTGCCACACACCACATTGGTCATTTTAAAAATGACACACTCCTAGGAATTAAATATAAATTACTATACCTATTTCTTCAATTATAATATTTAGGAAACTCACACTTGTTTGTGAAGTAAATAAAAATGCTAGAAAGGCCAGTCTTACACAGTTCGCCATAATGTTTAAACATTAAATAACCGAATTGCACTTGAAATGACCTTTTAATATAAGTATGTATGCTAATAAATAATATGTATGATTGAAAATTAATTGGGATGGTCGTTTTACGCATGTGTGCCTTTTAAATAGATCGCAATTAAAATTGTGGTAACACAAATTAATAGGAAATTTAAGTTTTAGTATTTTTATTTCACAGTGATAAAAAAACGTTTTAAAATATTTCCCTTTTTTAATTCGTATGAATTATACTTTTGGTTGCAATAAATCTTCAATAAACTGGAAGCTAACGTTTGTGTCGAACTGCGGCTTCCTAAAGAACTTCCAGTTCATAGCGAATAAATATTCACCGGTGGGCCATGGAAGACCCTTAAACGGTTCAGTGGTAAGATACATATTCTTAACGATGAGATCACCCTATAAAATATTGAAACCATAAGGATATATGATTAAGGATCATTTGGTTGGGCAAAAACTTACAGATAACGGGCAAGTGTGATTGGCGTTCGTAAAGTTTCTAAAAAAGTTATATATCATAACACCAAAAACGTTATACGGTTTCCTCAGGAATCGGCAGCTGTCGATCTCTACATTGATCATCCATGGCTTATAGCCGTTCTCCCTCTTAAAAACTCGATAGGTCACTCTGATGTCGGGGGTTGGGTAGAACAAGGTTGCGTTAAAATTGAATACCACTTTGTAGCGACTTATCGCCTTCAAGCGACACATATTGACCCGCACCCACGATTTATTATGACTTATGCACTCCACATTGGTCATTCTGAAGATGACGGAGTCCTGGAAATCAAATGTTATTCACTGTAGTATTTCCTTACTTCGGATCGGTTAACATCAAGTACTCACACCTATATCACAAGCAAATAAAAAGGTAATGATAGTAAGCACTATTGTAATGCTCCGCATGATTCTAGCACATACAGTGTTTATTATGAATACACATTAAATGGCTTTCGTTGTAAAATCAATACATATAGTATTCATTTAATGGGATAGACGATTAGGGCTTAAATAATTAGCCAATTTATTTTTGTCTGAATTGATTAAAACAAACTATAATTACAGTCTACAAAAATCATTTGCTCATTTAAAATGTGACTGTTGATAATTACAAAAAAAATTAAAATTAGATAAAGAAAATAAAATTCAGAAATGCTCTCGGAGTTATTTATTACATTTTCAACTCTTCTGTTTTTCGATTGTGTAATTTTAAATACATTGACAATAAACAGATATCACAATAAATTTTCCACGAAATCATAACTAACGTTGGTTACGAACTGAAGTTTCCGATAGAACAACCAATTTATTTGCAGCATGTAATTGCCGGTGGGAAAGGGAAGGGTTTTGATTTCCGTCGTGAGATACATTCCCCTTATCAAAATATGGCCCTTAAATCAATAAATCAAATAAATCAAGATTCTAATTATTAAAATGCTATAGTACTAACGGATAATGGGCATGTGTGGTTGATGTTGGAAAAGGGCCTATAAGCCAATGTTATCATTATGGTCAAGACATCATAGGGCTTTCTTAAAAACTGGCAACCATCGATCTTTCTCCTGTACAACCAGGGCTTATAGCCGCTCGCCCTTTTTAGATATCGATAGTCCATTATGATATCATTAGTTGGGTGGTGGAAGGTTGCATTGAAGTTAAAGACGGTTTTATTTCGACTGAGAGCCTTTAAGCGGCACTCGTTAATCGTAACCCAGGATTTGTTCATGCTTGCGCAGTTTACATTTGTAAGTTTGTAGTTAGAAGAATCCTGTAAATGAACTGATTCTTTATTGGCCCGCGATATATGTGTATATGAATAAAACGATCGTTGCTATAGTTTTTGTATTAATTGGCTTACGCTCAATCTCCAGGTGAAGAATATTGTTAGGATACCGATTACTTTCAGCGTGTTCTGCATGACTTTTATGACTTGAATGGATTGTACGAAATTAATTTCCCAAATATATCTTTTTGGGTAGCAAATTTTAATTTGGCAATGGTTAAGTTTGTATAATTAAGCTTAAAATTTAGCTAATTTACTTTTAAGTATTGGCTTTAAATAATAGTACGCACACGTGAATAGGTATTTATGGAAATCATAAAGATTAAAAATTAATTGGCAGATCTGACAAACAGTAAAACTCGTAAATACACAATAAATGGTTTTCATTGAAAACATGTGTTTCTTGATTTTTAAAAGGACAGTTTATCAGTGCTTATTGCGAATAACTAATATTTTCAAACATATTGACTCGCTTATAAAAAAGTTTAATTTTAAAAGAACATTTAGGAAAAAGCCTGAGAGAACTCTTTAGCCTCGACTATCAAATACCCGTTACTCAGCTGAAGGAGTGAGAGAGAGATAAAGATTGTAAGAAGCAAACCAAATTAGTTAAAGGAAAGAAAATTCAGATTTTACTATGCTCTCAGAATTATTTATTACATTTTCAACACTTCTGTTTATTGCTCCTCACCGTGAAAGAATTAAATACATTGACAAGAAAGAGATATCACAATAAATTTTCGACAAATTCATAACTAACGTTCATTACGAGCTGAAGTTTCCGGGAGAACAACCAATTCATTTGCAGCATGTACTGGCCGGTGTAATAGGGAAAAGTTTTAACTTCCGTCGTAAGATACATTCCTTTTATCAAGACATGTCCCTTAAATCGACAAATCAAAGAGGTTACACGTTTCTACACGTACTTAAAATGCTTGAATACTAACGTAATATGGGCAAGTGTGATTGATGTTAGAGTAGGGCCTATAAACCATTGTTATCATAATGGTCAAGACATCATAGGGCTTCCTTAAAAACTTGCACGCGTCGATCTTTCTTCTGTACAACCAAGGCTTATAGCCGCTCGCCCATTTCAAATATCGATAGTCCATTATGATATCATAAACTGGGTGGTGGAAGGTCGCATTGAAGTTAAAAACGGTTTTATTTCGACTGACCGCCTTTAAGCGGCACTCATTAACCGTAACCCAAGATTTGTTGACACTTTCGCAGTTTACATTGGTAAGTTTGTAGCTGGAAGAATCCTGTAAATTAATTGTTTCTTGATTGATCCGAAATATTTGTGTACAGTGATATCAAAAATTATCGAAAGGAGGTGCTTGAGAGCATTTTGTTCAACGCGTTTTTATATTAATTGGCTTACACACAATCTCCAGGTGAAGAATAATGTTAGGATACCGACTACTTTCAGCGTGTTCTGCATGACTTTTGTGACTTGAATAAATTTTACAAAATAAATTTTCCAAATATATATTTTTAGTTAGGGAATTTTATGCTTAAAATACATTTAATTGGACAAATGGTAAGGTTTTTATAATTTAGCTCTAAATTTGAGTAATTGACTTTTAAATATTGGGTTTGAACAAAAATATTAGGGTATACACACGGAAGTAGGTATTCATAAAGATTATGAAAATGGAAAATTAATTAGCAAATAAAACACACAATAAATAGTATTCATTGTCGATATATTTCATAATTTTAAATAGATTTTTTGAGTATACAAATGTACAATTTTAAGACAAAAGATAGGTCTTTAAATGCTGTTCGTGTTATCATTAGAAACAAGTTGAAGAAATGCATTGTCAAATAGTAGACATTACAATAAGTTTTCAACGAATTGATAACTAACGTTGGTTACAAACTGAATTTTGCGATAGAACATCCAATTTATCTGCAGCATATAATCGCCGGTGGGATATGGAATGGATTTAAATGATGTCGTGAGATACATTCCCCTTATCAAAATATCGCCCTTCAATCAATAAATCAAAGAAGATTACGGGTTTATTGCATTTTAAGTACTTGAATACTTACGAAAAGTGGGCAAGTGTGATTGATGTTTGAAACGTCCTTATATGCAATATATATCATTATGGTCAAGGCATCATAGGGCTTTCTTAAGAACCGGCAGCCATCGATCTTTCTTCTGTATAACCACGGTTTATAACCACTTGCCCTCTTTAAAAACCGATAGTCCATTAAAATGTCGTTAGTCGGGTGATGAAAAGTAGCGTTGAAATTAAAAACGGTTTTATTTCTACTGAGCGCCTTTAACCGACATTCATTAATCGTAACCCATGACATGTTTAGGCTTTCGCATTTCACATTAGTTAGTTTATAGACGACAGAATCCTGTAAATAACTCTTCAAATTTTTGCACTTAAAATTTTGCATTGAACTTACGCTCAATCTCCATGTCAAAATTATTGTTAGGATTCCGACTACTTTCAGCGTGTTCCACATGACTTTTACAACGTGAATAAAATATGCCTAGCTGATTTTTTGCCAAAACTATATTTTATTAGGCAAATGGTCAAGTTTTTATAATTTCCATTTAAATGATTTTTTAATAACTATAGTTTTTTATTTGAAACTATTGGCATTACACAAACGTTGTTGGGTATTTATGTATAGGTATTTAAAAATATTATTCAAATGGAAAATTAATTATAATTAGTTTTGACTTTGAGGTGTAATTGCTTAACAAAAATCAATTGGACGAAATGGCATATTTGTTTGTAATTTTGTTTTACAAGATAGAGAAAAGCTTAAAGTGACCGATGTAATGATTTATAAGACCTAGTCTTGTCGCATCGGGATAAAACATATAAATAAATTAAATTAAATAATATGTCTTATACATAAGACAGTCCAGTTAATTATAAAAAATCTGCTTCAAATGTAGGAATAAAAAAGCCAAAAGGAGGAAACTAAGAGAAGAGCCTTTATTCCTACCATAAAATCCAGATGGCACCAGTCCGCTGGCCACAATAAGGTGCTGAAAGTCAAAGGAGTTGTGTGCCAAATGCTCATTATACAAATTGCACAAGGAGACGAAAGATACTGACATAAAACGAAAACGGGAGTGAGAATGGGAATGGGAATGAGAATGGGAACGCTAAGAAGTCAGCCGAGCCAAAGGACCCTGGACAACACCTCGGGAAGCCGCAGAGACATTGATGATGGAATGACTGACAGACTCGGGCAATCCTTCGAAAGTCGCACTGAATTCAAATTCAAATGAACCCGCCACCGAACACCGAGCAAAAAGAATCTATTAAGATATTATCAGGCTGGGGTGAATCAGTGCACATCCATGCAATTGTTGCAGACAATTTGGGTCGGGATGAAGCTGCCGCCATGAGGCAGCCCACAATTGCGGCCATTAGTGCGGATCGAGGGGCACGAAAAGCGGCTGTCTGGCAGTGGATCTGAATCTCAGCCTCTGTCTCAGGATGAGATTGGGAATGGGGATGACGTTGAGGATGCGGCTGAGTAGGGTAGTCGATGCCAAAGCAACCCTTTTTCTTGTCTCGCCCGGCGTGTGTGTTTTTTCGTTCGTTTTGTAGACATTTTTCGTATGACAACGACAAATATTTGCCGGATAATATGAATAACAAAGCAGAAGGCACTGAAGGCGAGAGAAGAGGCCACATCAGAGGGCGCAAAAAGGGGGCGTTGCGGGCGGCTCGGTGGGTGGTTGGGCGGTTGGGAGGTTAGGTGGTTCGGTGGGTGGTTGAGGGCCGAACACAGGGTGGTTAGCCAGCCAACCTACTTAAGCCGCAGTTAGAGACCCAGACTCTTATTTCCCAGTCTCCCATTTAGAACTTTTGCACTGCCAAAAATAAGATCATAATTATATTGGAAAACATTTTCTCAACATTCAATAATTACATTCAAATGTTTTCCATTAAGCCATAACTAAGGTTATAATTTATATGAATAGAAAAAATGTATATAAACTATTTTTTTAAATACCAATTGACTAAAAATTTGCATAGATTAAAATAAATAAATTTTTCAAAACTAAAATATTTTTGAAAAATATATATAATAAATAAAATTTTCAATTGAAAACTTAAATTTTTTTTCCAAACTATAAATATTTTTTTAAAAAAGTTTTTTCATTTTAGAGTTTTTTTTTTAACGTATATTTTTGACCAGGTTTTTTTCCATAGTGTATTTCATGCCGGGGCCAGACGACTACAACTTAAACTAAAAGGCTGCACCACGTTGTTGCCGTCGGTGATGTTGCCACTGTGTTGTTGTCGCCGGTGTCTGAGACGCAGACAACTTCAAAATGGAGCGGTTCTGGAGCCGGAGAATAGCTCCGGTGGCCCTAGTCGACGGCTGGCTGGACTGACTGACACAAAAGTGCTTTTGTTGCAAAGTTTAATGAAGAAGAACACGTTGAGGACGAAGGCGCGGTGAAACAGATTTGCCAGGACAAATGAGACATGCAAAGCCTGGGTGAAAGTAATACATAGAAAGGGAATAATTAATGCTGTTGAACAGAATAGAACATTTTTTAAGAAGTCATAAGACTTGCAGAACTGCTCTCATTAAACAAAAAAGTTTATAGAAAAAAAGTGTCTCGCGGGATGTTTATAATAGAGTGAACCTATTTTAAAAATGAAGCGAATGGGTCGGATAAAATACACTCTTAGAGACTAGACGTCATACAATTTCAAATAGGAAAAAAAGTTTTAGTAGAAGAACTAAAACTAAGCGACAAGATTGAGCTTAACAAAATATTTATTTCAAATAAAACGATTTTATATCCTTATATCTCACAAATTTTGTAGGGATAAGTAGAAAAATTAGTTACTCTTCAAAAAAACGTTAATAATTTGGTCTCGACAGACTTGCAATGTTATGGGCATTTCAGTTTAAAGTTGTTGGATAAAAACTGTGAGAAGAGATACTTCAATGTGTAAGATCTACAGGAAGCTTTATTAAAATCAAAGCATTCTTTTCTACGTGATTTAAAAGCACTGTCTCGAAGATCAACAATTGCATGGTTTAAGGACACTCCTGACACACATATAGGCAAATGAATTTTATATCCGAAAAAAGCTAGAAATATTGAAACCATTTCGAATCGCCCAGTTAGTCGCCATTTGCTGTGACACTAAGCTGACTGAAGTGACGCCACCAGGCTTCAAAAGGCATTGGCCTCTCGTCAATAAGGCCATAATTCCGATCTTTTCTGGACACAAAAATTGCCCACTGTCTGGGCAGGAAATAAAAAAAAAAATATTTAAAGGGTGAAAGAAGTAAAAACAAAAATGAAAAAAAAAGGAATCGAAAAACCCAAGTGCATTGCAGCGAATACAAAAAATTGCATGCTGAGCTTTGCTGTTGCTTCGGTTGGTGTTGCTGCTGCTGTTGTAGTTGCTGTTGCTGTTGCTCCTGATGTTGCTGTCGTAGCTGCTGCTGCTGCTGCTCTTACCTCTCCTGGCGATGCACTTCAGACGACGACGACGACGACGACGCTTTGTTGCAGCCCAATACAATCGACACACAGACAGGGGCGGTGTGAGGGGGTTGCAAAAAAAAAAGGAAAAAATCCAAGGGGGGTTGCAGGGGCTGGAGGGGGGTCGCTGACGACAACAGACGGGGTCGCGAAGGGTTTTTTTTTGAGGCGGGGTGCGGAGTAGGGCGACTTGTCAGCGGGACAAGAGGGGCTTCTGCGGGGGTAGAACTGCAGACCGTGGCAGACAAAACAATATGTTTGTTTGGATTATATCCTACATACACACATGTGCAGCACACACACATACTCGCAGTTGCAGCGATGCGACGACGCTTCTTTGTATGCGCAAACAATTGGAGCAGGCGGAAGTTGCATGGCGGCGTCGCTTGGGTCGTCGGTTGTCCGTTGTCCGTTGTCCGCTGTCCGTTGTCCGCTGTCCGTTGTCGGTTGTCCGGACAACCAGTGAGAGTGAGCAGTATGGCCTGGAGACAGAGACAAAAGAGACTGGAGCGAAAGAAAGAGAGAGAGGACTAGTCACGACCGAACACCCCATGGTGCACCTTGAAAATGCGTTTTTTTCTTTTCTTTTTTTTCTGCACGCTCGCAGCTTCACTTGGCCCTACGCCTTGATTAACTGTCAGTGACTGAAAAGTGATTTAATCAAGGCAATGTCCAATCAAACACACAAGAAACCCATAATGAAGTAGAAAGAAACACGTCGGTAAAGTTGACTTTAAAAGAATTCAAGACACCCGGTCTTGAGATAATAACAAACCAAACAATTTATTAAATTTACCATATCAAAAATAAATTTAAAATCTATTGTAAAGAAATCGGATCAAACGATACCAATACATATTTTTTCTAAACTCAAAAAAGTATTTTTAAAATGCAGGATTAATTTTAACAACATACATTTTATTTATGCCTAATGTTAATTTTTCATATATTTTAAAACCTCAAAAGAAGAGGACATACCCATATATATTTTTATAAAGGGTAGAGAAAAACAAAAGACAGCAGCACCATGTGCTCCATATGGGGCAGGGACGCAGACCTCGATTCAGATTGAGATTCAGACTCAGACTCGGACTCTTACCCACAGCAGATCAGCCACGGACAGATCGCCAAGCCCAAGAGCAATCCCAATCGCAAGACCGAGCCCAACCCAAAGACCATGGACTATTCCCCGGCAGCCAGACCACATCAATCAACTGCTGCTGCCCTCCGTTTGCTGCTCCCTCAAGTGAGCATCCTTCAAGACGCAGCTTTTAGTCGAAATCCACTTGCATCTCCGCTGATGTTGCTGATGCTGATGCAACGTTCGTTGCTGCTGTTGCTGGTTGCTCGTTGCCGTTGCCGTTGCTGTTGCTGCTGCATCAACGTCGCCCATATTTGACATGGCCATAATTACAGTCAGTCGTCTGCTGGACTCACGACGACGCCGTCTTGGTCTTGCAGCTGGACTTGGACATGGGATTTGGATTGGGATTGGGACCTCGAAAAAGGTCTGTTGCTGGGGACTGGAATTGGGGACTTGCAGCTTGTTTTCAGCGCGCTTTTTCAACGTATTTGTTGTCGTTCCATCCTCTCAGCGAATGGAAAAAAATTACGCACATGGCTGTGAGATTGGTTGAAAAATGCGGAACAAAACTGCCTGCTCGAAATATATATTTAAAGTTAAAGTTAGTTATAGAAATTCCTATTTTTTGTTTAGCATAAAAGATGATTTAATTTCCTTTAGTTTAATTTATTAGATTTAAAATGTCAATATTATTTAGATATTGAAATAATTTGTAATTTATTTATAATATTTTTTATAATTTATTTTATTTTTGTTTCTTTGGTTTATTTTTTTCGTGTTTATATAATTTGGTCACCGAATTTGCAGTAAAACTATTTTTATTAATTTATTTTTAAATTAAACTTCATCCCACTGTGCAAGTAAACATCGGGGCACATCTGCAAGCAGCCTATCAATTTTTGA